TTATGTTTAAAATCGTATTCCTTTGAACAGCACCCTTTCCCTGTTTTTAAGGGGTTTTAGTTTGTTTTTAACAGAATAATAGAGCACAAACTGTTCCCTGGTAAACCTCTTTTTCCCCTATCTATCCACAGTCTAGATGCCACCATTCCTCCCCCCTACTTTTCCCAAAAAACTTTAGGCAAGGCTACTGGTGGATTGAGTCATGCAGGCTAGTTATATAATCAATCAACCAAATCAGATGGTTGCCTAGCTATTTTAATATACAGAAGTTTAAGTATCAGGCACATTTATAAATACTTCTATATAAAAACACAGAATTCAAGCTTTTAAAGACAAAGGAAATATTAACGCAACTGGAATTCATCAGAAAATATAGATCTGCAATTTCAGGAATCTCTTCTTTCTTCGATTACTAGGAAATCAATTTTATTTCTCGTAAACAAGGCCATACTCCTTAAAAACTAATCTCAGACATTCATGGCTAAAAGGATATTGCATAACCATTACCCACTACTCTCAATATATCATTTATTTAATATGAAAACCACTATGCAGGCATTTGGTGTTTATATGATATTCATATACGTTTGGAGACAAGCATTCTTTTATTATTTCAAGGTACACTGAACTCAATCCAGACATCACAAGTTTCATGCTAAACAAAAATGCATTGTAAATCAGTTCTATGGAGATTATTTTCATTCGTTGTATGTTTTATCACAATCAACCAGATACATAGAAAGCTATAGAGCCATGAGGCCAAGCACAGTCTTACTAGCTTATTTTCCTAAATCAAGAGAAAGGCATCACAGCTAGTTTGAATTTCACAGTGTGAAGCTATGTTCACAGATGACTGAGAGGAATTATAGGGGTATAGATTGTAGCCGTGTTGGTCCAAGGACATAGGCAGACAAGGTTCTTTGGCTAAATCTGATATCTTTTATTAGACCAATTTAAATAGTTGGAATAAAATTTTTAAGCAAGCTTTCGGGTTTAAAAACCCTTTGTCAGGCTGAGGAAGTTTCTGCAGTTAGTGTGTGCTCTTCCTGGATGGAATGAATAGTGAAGAAGCAAGAGGCTGGGCTGGTATGCATGCAAGACAAGCAGTCAGTGAACATGTAAACTAAGGAGTCAGTGGGTGAGAGACAGGCCGGGGGGGGAAATGAAGTTCATAGGCTCGTCTCTGAGAAGTGTTTTGTAAATTCCCTTTGAGGATTAGAACTGAGAGACTGGTTTTCTTATGAGAAATGTGCCCCCACAGGTAACTGGGTGCTCTTGTCTTTGATAGATTTCCGGTGTGCGTTCATTCTGGTGAGCAGTTGTTGTTTGGTCTCTCTCACGTATTTTCCATCAGGGCATTTGGTGCATTGGATGAGATGTATTACATTTCTGGAGGTCTAGCTGTAAGATCCGGGAATGCTGATGGCTCTGTTGTGGGGTGTAGTCATTGTGGGGTTGGTGGAGACGTGTTGGCAGGTTTTGCATTTCTTGTCATGGCACGGTCTGGATCCATTCGGTGTGTTCTGGGCCTGAGGAAGTTTGCTTCTGGTGATGAGGTTAGCGAGGTTCAGTGCTTGTTTGAAGGCTAGGATGGGTGGCTCTGGGAAGATCTCTTTAAGAATAGGGTCTCTTTCTATTATGGGTTGTGATTGTTTAAGGATTTTTTGTATGGGTTCGAGGAAGCGGTGATACGTCATAACCAGCGGTGTGCGATTCATGGGGTTTTTTTCTTCTGTATTGCAGCAATTTTTCACGTGGTATCCGGGTGGCTCTTTCAAACATGCAATCTCTCTCTCTGGAGAAGTCTCCTTGTTGGGTGAAATACTTTTTAAGATTGGCAAGGTGGCAATCCTCACTAGTCTTAAAAAGGTGATTGCCACCTCACCAATCTTAAAAAGGCTTTCACCCAACAAGGACACTCCTCCAGAAAGACACGTTTGACACGAAAGACAGATCACACGTTTGAAAGAGACACCCGGAATTATATGACATGTTGGCTGCATCAGCAGGGGACTGAACTTGCTAAACCAAATGGTATCTCCCAGTCCTATGTATTTATATGCTACTTCCTAAATGCTCTCATTCAGCAAAGAACTCAAGACAATCCAAGAGAAAAGCAGAAAGCAAAAAGGTCATTAAAATCCACAGAACACTTAAAAATACTCCCACCGTACACGTCTTTGAAGAGTGTTAATCCAGTTGAGAAGAGGGATCTGTAGTTTCAGAAAAAAATCTTTAAATCTATAACCTGGTATTGATCTACATATTAGATCCCTGCAATTATTACATATGCAAAACTTATTTAACAACTGTCTGTGCACTGCTGCTTGGTATGACACAAGAACTTGGTTGAAACCTGAACCTGGTAATACCACAGGAGAGAGAGATAGCTGTCTACTCAATTTTTTCCACAATATATTTTTGAAGAAGAGAGGCATCAACCTTAAAGTTAACTCATAAATACCTCTTTTTTGCATTTTTGGTACTGATGTGGATTTCCCCATTTCCCACTTTTTCCTCCGTTTTTCACAACACCTTAAAAATACCTTGTGTTGAAGTAGCTTAGAGGCTTATTTTATAAATAAGAAAGCTAAAAACCACATTACTGTTGAGACTTGCCAAATGCATACATTTCATTAGTGAGAGAGAATAGAAGGTTTTCCTTACCCAAAAAATATGGACTATAAACTCCAATCACTTCCAGAGGAACTGAATTAACATGGCTAATAACTTGATCTAATTTACAGCAATACAGGAAACAACCAGGAAAATACTCTCAGAGACTGTTTATGCCTGTTAGCAAAGAGCGAGAGAGTAAGGTGTTTCAAAAGCCTTATAATGCTGTTCTGTCATTCTGCGGGAACTGATTATAACAGAGTAAACCTCAGTAAACCACACACATCCCTCCAGGCTTCTATCTACAGGCAGGTAGAACAGGCACATTGAACCTGAATAAAGTTCAATGTGTACTTCCATGTTTGCACTGTTATCCATGGTCTGACCCATAACGGAAAGCTCTGTCCTAAATACCAATATATCCAGATCAGGCACTAAAGCAGGGGTGGGCAAAATACAGCTCGCAGGCCAGATCCGGCCCACCAATGGATTTTACCTGGCCAATGGCAGGTCCCTCAGCCTCACCTGGTGCAGGTGCAGGGAGCAGTCCAGGCCATGGCGTGGCGGCTGGACTCTGCTTCTCAGCAGCCCCAGCAACAGTGGCTCCTGCTGCCATGGCTACTGTCACCACTGCTGTAAGACCCAGCCCTGCTACCTGGGCACACCCTAGCCCACCTTGCACCCACCGCTGGGGGTGCCAGACACAGTGGGTGGGCAGGGTCTCCATGGAAATCAACTTGAACCAACACAGGCAGGGCAGGCCTGGCTGGGTGAATGGGATGGGGCCATGGGCCAGCAGGGAGGGGCACCTGGAAGCAGGGTGGGTGGGCAGGGCCTAAGGCTGGTGCCGGGATCTTGGGGTGGTGACAGCGCAGGGCCAGGGCCCACCGAAGAGCCACGATCTTCTGCCCACATGTCCCTGCAACAGACAACACTTACGTGGGCAGGGGCATGCTGGGAGCGGACTGCAGCCCTGCACTGTCACCACCCTGAGCTGCCCACCCATCCCACCTTCAGACGCTGCTCCCCACCTGCCCGCAGTCCCATCCCATATGCCTGGCTGAGCACACCAAGTCCACACTAGGCCCTGGGGCAGAGCCACTTAGGGAGTTTTGCTGAGTTGTTGTGGGTGGGGTGGTTGTGCTGACCCAGAAGATAACAGCTCATAAAAACTCCCTAAGTGGCCCTCTAGGCCAGGGACAGGCAATTATTTCAGATGGAGGGCTGCTTAATGAGTTTTGGCAAGCTGTTGAGGGCTGCAAGGGTAGCCCTGCCCCTAGACTGGTGGCCTGCCCCCGGTCACCATCTTGGGACCACAAGTCCCACCCCCTAACCCCTGATCTTTACCACTGGAAGTCCCTCCCCTTTCCCTGGAAGCACTCCTTTTGGGAGGGAGGTTTGCCATCTTGGAACCAGAAA